ATATGTGATTGCATAATAATTCCTTTTCTACTTACGTACCTAGATTGATATGCATGAAAATGGCACAATTTAAATATCTTTTCATAAATGATTGACACCCACTTTAGTAATTGTTCCTTTAACTTTATAGAAAGTAAGTATGCCTTTTACTTTATAGAAATTATCTTTGACTTGCTAAATCAAGGATTGCATTACTCATGTTTTAGTTGACCGTAGCATGCTTATAATTATTGTCAAATAAATATTCTTTTGCTTTATGGTTTGAAAAGTTATCCTTGATTTAAGATATTAAATCTTCTATTGAAAGAATCTTGACTTGCTAGTAATATTTGGATCGTTGCATGCTTATATTTGACAAGCCAATATACTACTTCCTTCTATATAATATTATGCTATCTTGTCATCTTAATTTGATTGCCATTTTAATAAAAGGTGATCATACCTTTTCTAATGAGCTATTAAAGTAGCTTGTCTTGAAAATGATTGCATAAATATTTTATTGCTACACATGTCCGCTGCATGCCTACATGTTAAGTAAATCAATATTATTTCCTTATATGATGATTCGTGAATCATGAGTCAATTTACTCATATTTGAGAACGAATATGAGAGAGCTACTAGAAGGAAAGCAATTCAAATAATATCAATGCAAGTTCCAAGTATGGAAGCTCAATTACTCAAGGAAAGAGACACCAACGGACAAATCAAAGTGGCTTATATATTCGAGAACCAAGAGGAAGAAGTGTGTGCTTGAGAGAGTAATCAAAAGGAGAAAGACTTACGAAGAGTTATCAAGTCCAAGGCACCTGAACCTACGCACGAAGTTCTAGATATAGTTTCTTTTCCCTTCTTTATCTTGCAACTTGGTTTTCGAAGAAAAGCTAAGTGTAGCTTCCTCGGTTTGGGATCGTGTGTGTGAGAGCTTTGTTGTAAAACTGAGAAGTTCTCTACCTGCAAGGTAGAGATGCGTAACTCTTCCTAGAGAGGATAGAGTTGGGGTGGCTCAAGGGTAGATTAGGAGAATTTACCTTGTAACCACATTTTGGCTATTTAGTGAAGTTGTTCAAATTCCTCCAAGGGAGGTCGAGGTTTTTAATCCCTATGAGTCAAGGGATTTTTCCTCGTTAAATTCTTGTGTATTTATTATTTCGCATTTCCCTACACCCACACTAGAACTGTGCGAGAAACTGCCACAGTTCCACAGAAACACAATTCACCCCCTCTTGTGTTACTAACCGTTTCACTAGCGACAAAAAATGACTAAGTATATACTACGTATAAAGTGTCCTTATTTATAATTTTTTCCATTTTCGTAACTGATTAGTAAATAGTAACAAGAATATTTAATAAAGGACCCTTGAATCAGTTGAGGGGTTTGATTGACTGGACATAGGTAAAAAACAGCCACGGCAGCCCATCAACCGCCGCCGGGAAGGGTTTGGGGTGGAAAATCTTTTGTTGCGATCGTTGTGGATCATCCTTATCCACCTTTATTGCAGAAAACAGGTTCAAAGTTTAAAGGGATGTCTGGTATCACTTTTCCGGAGCAGAAAGTGGCGATATTTGCAGCAAAGCACAAGCTTTCTCTTGTGTGTTATTTATTCAAGGACCGCCCATCTCTGACTTCCCTTCGTAAGGCTTTTGAATTGATTGGATTCAAAGGATCTTTTCAACTGGGTTTGTTAGAAAGGAAACATCTCTTGATTCGTTTTGATACTGAAGAAGATTATATTCGATGTTGGAACATGCAGGGATATATATATATATATATATATATATATATAGATTTAGGCTTAATTCGAGCAAATTGAAAATGTGCAATAGAATAGCTTCATTGTGCACCACGTTGATTTGAATGTGACTGTTCTCACGTTCTCACGTTAAGCATCGTTCTCACTGGAACCGCACCCTATATATATATATATATATATATATATATATATATATATATATATATATATATATATATATATATATATATATATATATATATATATATATATATATATATATATATATATATATATATATAGACACACACACACATGGAAGCACAATGTGTGTTACCAAAGGGACCTCAGAATTTAGACCAAATGTTGGATCTTCCATAGTTCTGATTTGGTTAACCTTTGAGGGTTTACCCATACATTTACATGATATGCATGCTTTGTTTGATATAGCGAGTTTGATTGGGAAGCCTCTAAGGATTGACACTGTTACAACGACTCTAGCTAAGCCTTCTTTGGCTAGGGTTTGTGTGGTGGTTGATTTAACTAAAGATATGCCTACTAAGCTATGAATAAATTGAGGGTCGAATGAATTTTCTCAAAACGTGATCTATGAAAATAGACCACTATATTGTAACCATTGCCTACATTTAGGCCATTCTATGGCCTCTTGAGACATGAGAAGGACATGTCAAAAAATGGGTAATTAAACCTAGGGTCACTGAAACTATAGCTGGAAACAAAACACCAGCTATTACAAGAACCAGTGAAAGGGATATGTCAATCGTAAAGGAAATAATAAGCTAACTATTACAAATGGAAATCAAGGAAAGGGTTTTGCAATCGACAAAGGAAAGGAAATGGTTACTGATACATGCATTCCCTCTACTTCTAAAAGCCAAATAGTTGCTTTACATGGAGATCAGCATAAGGAGACTACTTCTGATAAAAGTAAGGAGCAGTTTCCTCCCTTGTGTGACCTAGAAAAATGTGATGTGGAGGAATTCATCATGGAGTGTCACAAATACTTAGTTTTTAATGACACATTTCTTTCCAACAACATGTAATACGCTCTAAACGGAAGAACACACAGCAAGATATGAGTGTCACAAATACTTAGCCTTATCTCTATGATTTAGCGTTTTCAGCGTAAATAGAGCACTTTTAGCGTAAATACAGTGTATTTTAGTAATTAGGCAATCATCCCTTGATATTTTGAAACCAGCGCCTTAAGACAAGTTTTAGAACTCGGTAAGATCTTTCGAATGAGATATTAAACGCTTTCAACGGAACAAAATAGAGCAAGATAAGATTGCGTCAAATTCTACACGAGTTCGGAGTGAAATCAGAAACATTGGTGAATATATGGTTAATCTGTAACTTTTAATTAATGCATTATAAATGAAGTTGGAACAATAGCTTTAGAGCTCCAAATTATCTTTCCAACGAGATATAATACGCTCAAAACGGAAGAACACACAACAAGATATGAGTGTCACAAATACTTAGCCTTATCTCTATGATTTACAATGTACACAACAAGATATGAGTATCGCATTTCTTGACACACATTTATATGTTTATAATATTATCAACACATAATAAAAACTAACCTTCATGACCCGAGTAAAACAATACTCCGCAATTGTTTAGAAAAAATAAAATTTAGTTTTGTTGACGCTTAAAAAACTTAAAAGAATGCTCAAATTAAATTACGGAATAGATAGCAAATACGGAGTAAGAGGGTTTGGGACTCTGGGTTGTTTTTTGGAAGCAAGTGACTTATATTAATAAGAAAGAACGTAAGTAGGGTACAAACAGACAAAAAACTCAAATCTACCGCTAAACATTTCATTTCAAAACCCAAAATTCAAAGCCCGGCCCGGGAATCCGACCTCCCACTCAAAGGTTGGTCGCCTTTCCGCAAACAAAATTGCTCTTTGTACACACAATTGTACACTCAATGTACACACTACTTAAACCCAAAAAAATTACCCCCCTCTTTTCCCCCTCACTCCCCCACCGACCCACGCTTCTCACTCGCTCCCCACTCCTCTCTCTTCTTCCCTTCAACGAATTCAACAAACAAGCTTCCACCTTCATCAACCTTCACAAAGCTTCCTCTTCGATGGATTTTCCGTACGACGACACGTTGGTGACTAACTTCGACGATTTTTGGGCTTCATGGAATGAGAATCCCGGAGGCAGTAAAGTTGGGATGTCTTCCGGAGCTGGAGAAATTCAAGGACAGACGGCCGGAGCTGGAGAAGGTGACGGGATGACGGATGGAGGCGGAGAGGGGTCTGGAGATAAGACCGGAATTGGAGATGGTGTTGGACGCACTCTTGGAGCCGGAGAAGATGATGATCACACGAACCTAGCCGAGGTAAATGAAGGGCTGACGTCGCCGGCGGCCATGGACGTCGTTTCTGACCTTGGTATAGTGACGTAATCTTCTTGAACGTTGAAATACGTTTACTCTCACATGCATGTTGTTAGAGGTGGAAGTTGTTTATGTGTTAATTTATTTGTTTATGTGGGTTTTAAGGGTTTATGCTTGTTTATGTGGGTTGTTAGTGTTTGCAGAATGTCATAAACATGTTTGTTTGTGTAGTATTCAACGTGTCTGTGACACATATCAATTGTCTGTGTGTGAAAATATCAGTGTGTGTAGCACCTACCTTGTTTTGAACGCATGCATACGTTTGGTGACACATGCAAGTTGTAGGAGCTGTCACTTGTTTATGTGTGTGTTTGTTTGTGTATGAAGACAGTGGAAGATTTATTTGTTTGTGTAGTATTTCAACTAGTCTGTGAAAGATTTGAATTGTCTGTGTGCATATATCACTGTCTGTGTGATATCGTAAGTTGGTTAGAACACATTAATAAATGAATCATGTAACATAACAGATGGAGAAGAGCTGTCAAAACAGAATGAAGTTGGTCAAGATCCGGAAGTTGGTATGGAGTTTGAAAGTAGAGAAGCAGTCTATGATTTTTACAAAGCATACGGGAAGCGTTTGGGATTTCCTATAAGAACTAGGAGCACAACTAAAGACAAAAGAGGAGAACACATTGTGTCAATTCTACTAGAATGTTCGTGGGCTGGTCGAAGATGTAGTCAGTCAAAAAATCAATTGAAGCCCCAACCTTCAATGCAAATAGGGTGTGAAGCTAGACTACGAGCGCACGTAAATTATGCGGGAATTTGGCAAATTTAAAAAGTCTTTTTACAACATTCACATCCTATGAGTCCAACAAAGGCTCGCCTATTCCGATGCAATCGGAGGTTAACTCATGGAATGGCAAGGAAACTTGCAATAAATGATGTTGCGGGAATACAACTTAATAAAAGCTTCACCGTGGCCGTTGTTAAGGCCGGTGGGTATGATCAACTTCCCTTCATTGAAAAAGATTTTAGGTTCAACAGTGTCAGCTTCTTCTATCCAAGCTTTTAGAGATGCAATATGATCATCAGTTGGGTGAAATATAGCAGGTTGAATGGATACAATGGGCTCAACATATGGTGAGCACTGGTATTTGGAACGACATCGTTTTCTTTTTTTCACTTCTTTCCTGCTCACAACTTGTATGGCCTCAACATCTATTGACGCACTCCCAATATGGACCGAGGGCTGTTAACGGAGGTAAGTTGTCCTATTCACAACAAATATAATACATTGTTATGTCTTTGTACACACAGACAAACACTATAGTTTGGATTGCTCTCCTTCCGGTCCTTGAACTTCTGAGGTTGACCATCCATCAGACCCTTCATATGACTCACCAATAACTTGTACGAACGAAGTGACCACGGACACTTCTTGAATTCCTCTAAATCATTCACCAGTCTGATAGAGGATGCATTTATCCTCGTAGTGTTGTCCTTAGCAAGCAACACACACTCAATATAGAACAAGGAGGCCAACTTTACAACATCCATCTGATCACGACGTTTGGAAAATTTAAGTTTCTCAAATTTGTTCTTCAAATTGACGTGTGTAATGTCCACTGAGTCACCTAAATACTTCTTAGCAATGGCCCCTACGTGTTCAGCTTCATCGCCAGATTCTTGTCCTGAAACATCACCTGCAGCAGCTACTGGTTCAGCACCCGCTGGTAATCCACTTATGCGGCAAAAATCCACATAAGTAAACTTATACAGTGTACCCCGAATGGCAAACCACAGCTCCTCATCAGGTTGCTCCTGCAAAAGGTGTAAGGCCAGCATGTGAAAGACTTGGCCAGAGAATTGTGTGGGTAGGATGTCAATAAGATGGCCCCATGGTAAAGCGCGAAAAATTTCTATTTCTGTTGCAGATAAGCTGCTTTGTACCCATTTGGCAGCATTTCTAAAGTTTGAACACACCGAATACTGGGCAGGAAAGTAGTCATGACTGGGAATGCGTAACTTCAGGGCTCTGGCAGTTGGAAGAACAATAAATTATTAGGACAGACAGACAAAAGGTGACGTTCATAGACCTAAAGTATATTCACAGACAATAAATAAAACTCCAAAGGAACTTTACACCACCACACAGACAATTTATAAACATCAGCAAAGGAATTACACTATGTCATAGACATAATTTCATTCACAAGCAATAAATAACAAAAAAATGAAGTTAACACCACCACACAGACAACTTGCGCACATCAACAAAGGATTTACACTATATCATAAACAAAATTTTAAACCAGCCCACAGACAAATGTTCGAAGATTGCAAAAAACTCAACAAATTAAATAATAAACCTAAAAACAAACAAAGGTTGGGAAATGATACATACCTCTCGGCCATCTCTGCCAGTGGGGTTCTCACCATTGTTGTGCGTCGTGGTCCAACCTCAGTCCGCATCGAGGAGGCTGTTTCTTCACACACACCTGGAATCAATCGCGAAGAAGAGAGTGTAAGTGGGGGTGCCGGTTTCGTGGGGATGTGGGAGAGAAGAAAGGGGGTGTCGCCGCAGGTTTGATTTTCGAGAAGGAGGAAGTTGCTTAGGCTCGCCGCAGGAAGTTGCTTAGGCTCGTTGATTTTTGCCGCAGTTGTAAGGAAGAAAAGAAAGAACCGGGACTTTTGATTTTCGAGGAGCGGGGGAGCGAGTGAGAAGCGTGGGTCGGTGGGGGAGTGAGGGGGGAAAGAGGGGGTAAATTTTTTTGGGTTTAAGTAGTGTGTACATTGAGTGTACACAATTTGTGTACAAAGAGCAATTTTGTTCCACAAACCCTCTAATGAGCTTTAATTGCACCATCGACAATTTGAAATTAAGCGGATCCACTAGCACCTCAATCATATTTCTACAACTCATCCAATCCCGCTTCTCAATATCCATGACATTGGTAAATGGTAATGATTTTGCTTTTTCATGGATTGATTAATTTGTATTTGATCTAAAGTCTGGTGGAGCTGAGTACGTGAATTGTTCATTGCTTTCTATTGATTTATTTTTTGATCTATGTCTAATGGAGTACGTTAATGTCAAGCTTCCTTATATTATATTGATCCAACATAATGAATAGGGCTTTCTACTTTTCATGGATTCCTACCCTGGTGTGTTTATATTTTAACATTTTATACACAAATGATAAAATCTATAGATGTACATCATGAGTTAAGGTAAATTCTGTTACGCAAGAGTTCTGATACATATTATACCGGCATAAATTTAATTAACAAAATCAAATCATATTTATGTTTTATATCTATACCTTTATAAAGAAACTTAGAACTTAATAGCGATTGGTTTCTATATTATATACTCTGTTCCACTAGGTGACTTTGCACTAACAATATTAACAACAGATTGTTCTAAACTAATTTATACGTAACATATTAACTTCTGACTTTTCCTAATTGAACATTTCCTTTTTGGAGATTTTCACTTTATTTGTTGAAAGGTTCATATACTTTTATCAAAAAGTCAATTGAGTCTATGTACTTTTAAATGAATCAACTAAGTCCATGAACTTCCAAAAAACAACCAAATTTTATTTTTTATAGGTAATGAACCGGTTTCAAGTTTAATAGCTTACGTGGATCGTCCAAGTGGAAGTTTTTTACTGTTCACAATTTTTTGTGCATTTTCTTTTCCTTTTCTATTTCTTTTCTTCTCTATTTCTTTGTACCCCTTTCTCTTTTTCTTCTTTCTCTTGGTCCAAAAGGTGGAATCTCCCACCCCAGGAGCCCCCACCCCGACCCGACAGGATGGTGAGAGAGTTAAACACGGTGACCCAGTCAGCAAAGTGGCGGTAGGCCTTATACACGTGCACATCAGAGGTCTAGCCTTATTTCAGGTTCTGTAACCTCCACACAGCCGCTGCGGGTTTCGAAACTTGGTCACTTGGTCCAATTTTCCCACCTCTTTTTCTTCTTTCTCTGTTCTTCTTTCGCGTTCCAAGTCTATCGCCCTCGCCCAACCTGCATCACCTCCCCTTCTCCCCTCAATTCCTTTTTCAACTTTCTTCTTTCTCTTGGATATGGCTTTTTCGATCTGATCTTACCCCACGTCGGAAATGGCTCGAGCGCCTACCTTCTTCTTCGCCCGGCGACGTTTAAGCGGTGTCCAAGCCGCTGCAACAATCGCCCATTTCGTCGCCTTCCTCCCGTGCCCAACTTCGGATTTGCCCGGAGACATTCAAGGCATGGCAATTAACCCGCGCTTGGCATCAAAAGCCCCAATTTTGAATTTCCTGGAAGAATAAACAAGAAGGGGGTTAATTCGGTGAAAGAGAAACGAAGAAAGAATGAGGGGGTGAGAAGTCTACCTGATACAGGTGGACGGAAGAAGAAAGAAAGAGAAGAAAGGAAATGGGGGGAGAACTCAGAAAGAGGAGTTGGTGGCAGGTTGGAGTGTTGGACGGTGGAAGCCTGAAACGGGTAAGGAATAGGAGCAAGAAGAAAGAAAGAGAAGAAAAGAAGAAAGGGAGAGAAAATAAAAGGATAAAAAATAGAAAAAGCCACCGCACATCACACGTAGGCCGTCAACGGGAAACCGGTTGATCACCTGTGAAAAAGCCAATTCCATTGTTTTTGACAGTTCGTGTACTTGATTGATTCGTTAAAAAGTATATGGACTCAATTGACTTTATGGTAAAAGTAGATGGACTAATTTGACAATTTTCCCAATATGATATCGTGAACTCTCTTGTTTGAACCATATTGTGAACTCTCAATATGTAGCTTTTTAGTTGATGATGATTTTGTGGATACATTTTTTGTGTTTATGATTAATGTGAAAGGAATTATGTGAACATTTCTTCTCGATCTATTTCAATTCTTTTCTATGCTTATTATGTGTATTTGATAGAGACTTAGAATAATACTCCCTCTGTTCTTTATTATCTGTCCCGCTAGCCTTGGGCACAAGTTTTAATAGAAAAATACTCCCTCCGTCCTTTAAAACTTTGCCAACTTTCCATTTTTGGATGTCCCACTAACTTTGCCACTTTCCATTTTAAGTAAAGAATTTGTGTCTACAATCAATTCTCTCTCTTCTGCACAAGCATCTACCACACAGTTTTTACTTTATTAATCCTCGTGCCGGTCAAACTTGGCAAAGTTTTAAGGGACGGGAGGAGTAGTAGGTTAAATGTAGAGTTTGTAGGGTAAATGATAAAGTAGGAAAGATAGTATATTAAAAAGAGTAAAGTGATGATAAAGTAGTAAAGAGAGTATATTAAGTAGAGTAAAATTATGATAAAGTAGGAAAGAGAAAGTAGTTTGTAAAAAGTAAGAGAAGTAAAAGTAATAAAAGTGGGGGTATTTTATCAAAAACTTTCCTAAAATAGAAAGAGACAAAGAGAGAGAGAGAGAGAAATAATTAAAAACGTCCCAAAAAGGAACGCGAGACAGTTAATAAAGAACAGAGGGAGTACTAGAATAAGAATACTACTCCCTCCTGTCCTAAATAAAGTTCAGTGTTTGACTTCACACAAATTAAGGAAATAAATTTGACTTTGCTGTAGAGTACACTGTTGTGACACTGTTTGACACTGTTTGACACTGTTTTGCACTATTTTGATGTAGATAATTTGCCAAATAAGGAAGGGAGAAGAAGTGTGAACTTTATTTTGGACCGACCCAAAAAGGAAAGTGTGAACTTTATTTAGGACCAGAGGGAGTATTACGTATTTTAATTTTGTACAATAAAAGGGTTTAGGCCCTATAACTAATTAGAAGTGGGCTGGCCCATTAAAAAAAGAATAAATAAGGGTGAGCTGTGAGTTGAAGGAGGAGAAAATTGGGATCGGGACTGGGAATTTGGTAGTGTGAGACCACTCGAAGAGTCTCGACTTTTTCTTACTTATTTTCTATATTCCATCCATAAACCTTCTTTAATATACTAAGGTTATCTACTGGAATCCTTCTGTTACCTGTCATTGGTATCAAAGCGAAACGATCATTGTAGCTGCGCGTGGTAGTCACTCGGTGAAACATGGAACAGAGGATTGAAAGTTTGGAGAGATCATTGGAGCGTTCAAGGGAAGAGATGCGAACGGAGATGTGAGCCTTGGTGGATGAGAAAGTGCATGTGTTGCTGGAGAAATTGCAGAGTCTCAAAGTCTAGGGCAATCGCAGGAGAAAACATGGACGATAAACCACCAATCATCGACATCAGACTTTTGCCAGCATGAGTTCATCTTATTCCGGAGGTAACCCTCATGAATCTCACTCTATTTCTCGCAGTCCTGATAGTACGAGAATGGACGATCAGATTTATAGTGGGAGAAAAGTGGATTTACCGTTGTTTAGCGGTGACGATGCTTATGGATGGCTGGTTTGGGTCGAACGCTATTTTAAGCCTAACCAAGTACCAGAGACTGACAAGGTGGAGGTAGTGTTGATCGCCATGGCCGATAAGGCTCTGAACTGGTACCAATGGTGGGATGAACAGACACCTGACCGTTCTTGGGTTAACTTCAAAGAGGTTTTGATTCGACGTTTCCAACCTGACTTAGTACAGAACCCGTTTGGTCCTATGCTTAGTATTAGGCAAACTGATTCAGTAATGAAGTACCAGGATCGCTTTGAAATGTTTGTAGTTCCTCTCAAACTTACTAATCAAGAGATGTTAAAAGGAGTATTTCTCAATGGGCTTAATGATGAAATTAGCACAGAGCTGAAGTTGCACTAGATTAGTGGGTTAACTGAACTGATGGACAATGCCTTGTTGTTGGAAGCCAAGAACAAGGTGTGGAAAGGAGAAAATAATATTGAAGAAGACAAAAAGGGCGGGAAGGAACGGGGAGGGGAAATGGTTAGACCCTTGAATTGGGTGGAAGGAGCAAAGGGAAGAACACCTGTTGTGACTCCCGTGAGAACACATTCACAGAACAAACTGGAGGAATCACCAAAACCAAGTAAGACTTGGGAGGGAGGCCAAAGATTGACACAAACAGAGCTAGAAGAAAGAAGTAAAGGGGTATGTGTTTCAAATGTGGAGATAAATGTGGTAAAGAACATGTTTGTGGAATGAAACATTATCAATTCATCTTGATAGAAGGACCAGAAGAAGAGCAGGGAATGATTTTATTGCCCTCTTGATATCATTCATAGTGATTTGCGGACATGTCATCACGATTCACGCACAGGTTATCAATGTTCTCTCCTCTTCTTGAATGATTTTACCAATTACCTTTAGGTGTATCATCTTAAAGTCAAATCCCAAGTCTTTGGCGAATTCTTAGAGTCCAGTTCTTTAGTTCATACCTAATTTGAGAAAGAAATAAAATCTATTCAATGTGATTTTGGCCGTGAGTTTAGTTTGACAACTCATCGTTTCAAAATTTCGCTAAAAAACAGGGTATGATCTTGATTTCCGGTTTTCGTCCCACCTAAACATCTCCCAAAATCGGTAAAGCTGAAAGAATGATACTTCAAATCAATGATAAACCCATGCCCTAATATAATGACTCATTCCCCCTAAACATTGGGCTAGTTCGCTTCACATGACGGTCTACCTACACAACATTATTTTCAATAAACTTGTAGTCTCTTGCTTCCCTAGCCTACTCTTGCCATATATCGTCTTCAACCCACGCACATATAACAATCTTTGCACTTTTGGTTGTCTTTGTTACCCAAATCTTATGTCCACCACGTACCCCTATATACATTAACAAACATTCAACGTACCTTCACAATATTTAAACATATTTACCACTCTTCATGTGCTTATGAAATTTTATGTTTCGGAATCTTTACTAACACCGTTTATTTTTTCATTTCGAATAAAAAAGACATATAATGTGACGCTTTTCACACACTTTTCTTGCATTAGCGTGCGTTCTGGATTTATGTATTCCTTGTGGTACATAGGGATATACCGGTCTCCCCTCCGCCAATGTGTGCTGCTACATAGAATTAAATTAGATCTTGTTGAGTTTGGCGAGAAGGAAAACAGTGGCGGAAGTGATGGCGGGGATGAACACTTCGTTGGGGATGGCATTTGGGAGGAGTCTCTGCTTGAACAACAATGCTGTGACCGGAACTCCGAATAGGTAGAAAAGTATGTCTTTTGCTCCTATCCCCGTCACGCCTGTGTCCATTATTATTTCTTGCAGAATCTTCTCAAACTCTTCTTTGCTCAATTTCTTCCCTTCTTCCTTGTGGTGTTTCTGACAAAAAATTATTACCATACAAAATTCTTAATTAATTGTGTTGTTTGACAGGCTTTGACATATGAGTATATACCTTAATTAAGTTGGTTTTATTTTTATAATCAACATTTTTAACCAACCATATTATTTTGGTCATTTTTTTGTCCCGGTAGGCACCATCGTCATTTCTTTTTTGTAAATTTCCTTTGAAGTCGTTCCTTAGTTGGATTACTCATATAAAACTTATTGTAAAGTTGTGGTAATTGAATGTAAAATTAAAATCTAAATGATACTCCCTCACCTCACAAAATTCTTTCCACTTACCATTTTGAGATGTTTAAAAAATATTTCTCATTTCCTTTAAGTTTTGTTTACTAACATTCATTTACCTATTTTCTTACTCAATTACAACCATACACTTTCACTTTATTCTCACTTTCTTAATAAACGTGTCAAATCACTGAGAATTATTTTTGGGAGGGAGGAGTACTTTGTAATACATATGTTTTGTTCACTATCTTTATTGTACGGGTAATTATACATTTGTAAGTATTGCATCAATAAATCCTTTAATTTGAAAGTACGTAAAAAATGCAGAATTAACTTGTTAGTATTTGAAAGTAGTGCATTAAAAAGAGTGAATTTCCCAAATAGGAGTAAAACATAGACAAAATGCAAAAACAAGAGTACCATGTTTTGAATAGGAGTAACTTTAGTGTTTCGACAAATATACTCCCACCCAAGCCTCAAGCCCCAACGACATTCAATATTAATTAAAACATAAAAGAAATAAAATTAATTAATTTATAATAAAATTGTAAAAAAAAACACAAACATATACTCCTTCCGTCCCTTATAACTTTGACATTTTTCCTTTTTTGGATGTCCCAAAAATTTTGTCACTTTCTCTTTCAATCAATGAATTTGTGATTCCTATTATTTCTCTCCTCTGCGCATATCTCAGACACAGAGTTTTTATCTTATTATTTCTCGTGCAGGTTAAACATGGCAAAATTTTGAGGGACGGAGGGAGTATATCAAATAAAATATAATCCGTATTAAACAAAATTAATAAAAATAAGAAATTATTAAAAGAAAAAATATTAAATAAAAAACTAAAAAAATTAAAATAAAAAAAAATAAAAAATAAAAAAATTATAAAAAAATATGCAGGCATCTGCTACCGCCTCAACAACCTCCTAGCCCCACCAGCCCCGACCACTGAAAAATGCCAATATTTTCCCGAAATGCCACCGTGATGGCAGTTTTCGAGAAACTTTTACGTTTTCAAAAAGTAAATTGTCATGCTAAAAATTGTTAAGTACTCTCTCCGATTCTAAATAAACTTCACACTTTGACTTAACACAAATTAAGGAAATAAAATTGGCTTTACTGTAGAATACACTGTTGTGACACTGTTTTGCACTGTTTTGGTGTAGATCATTTGCCAAATAAGGAAGGGAGAAGAAATGTGAAGTTTATTTTGGACCTACCCAAAAAGGAAAGTGTGAAGTTTATTTATATAAAAATAAGAATGAATCCAACGGTCCAGATTCATTCTCATTTCTCTCCTAGAAGTCCGTTCTTACCGGAACTGCTCCCTCTCTCTCTCTCTCTCTCTATATATATATATATATATATATATATATATATATATATATATAGGTTTTGGTTCAAATAAGAACATGATCTTATGAGAAAAATGAGAATGAATATGGACCGTTAGATTTGCATTATGCGAAATTCAATGTGCATTAAAATATCGTTTTATTCTGCACATTAAAATATCACCTTATTCTGCACATTTCAGTTTCACCTAATGCACATGTGAGTTTAAATTTTAATTCTGCACATTTAAATATCGTTTATTGCACATTGCGGTTTCACCAAATGCACAATTTAGTTCCACATAATTCAATCCAACGGTCCAGATTCTTTCTCATTTTTCTCCTAAGACCCGTTCTTACCGGAACCACTCCCTATATATATATATGTATATATATATGTATATATATATATATATGTGTGTGTGTGTGTGTGTGTGTGTGTGGTTGGGTTCTAATAAGAAGACATCTTAACCTGAGAAGTGAGAAGCTTCACATTTGCCTCTTTCTAATGCACTTTTTCGCTAATCTGATGCACTTTTTGCTATGGCAGAAAAGTTCCGATTAATTACGGATATGCCACCGCGTCTAGCATCACTTTTTTAATTTTTTTGCACTTTCCCGTGCACTTTTTTGCTAATCTGATGCACAGATCTTAAAATGAACGCACCAGATACATTCTCACTTCTTACGATAAGCACTCTTCTCATTTGATCCTTATTCTCTCTCTCTCTCTCTCTATATATATATATATATATATATATATATATATATAAGAGATCAAATACAAACTATGCTTAAAATACAAACTACAAACTCAATAATATGCAGCACTTTGAACTTCAATATGCAGTAAAAATAATGTAAAGATTCAGGGGTGAGATCACATACAAACTAGTTCTCCCATTCAAATCATCTTAAATTATTTGTAGTGCACATTTAAGTTCAAAGTATTTCATATTATTCAAGCCATAAAATAGCATTTTCATATTTGCATTATTTGTATTGCATATTGAAATTCAAAGACTGCATCTTTACATTATTTGTATTGCATATTGAAGTTCAAAGTGTTGCATATTATTGAGTTTGTAGGTTAGTAAATTAAGCATGGTTTGTATGTGATCTCACCCCTATATATATATATATATATATATATATATATATATATATATATATATATAATATTGGAATACATAAGAGTAGAGTTATTGAAGTTGAATAGTTTTTTCTTTAATTTATTGTGTTGTCACCTGTCATTTTTTCATACTAATAATGTTACCACATGTCAATAGTTACTCCAAGGAGTTTTTCAAAGAATTGCTTTATTATACGAAGTATTATATAGATTCAGATATAGATATTGTTTAATACTACTCGTAAAAATGAAAACTAAAGAAAAGGATTCTAAAAAGAGAGAGGAAGCGGTCCAGCCCAGCTGGTCGTCGACTCACTCTCCCTTACGGGAGGTCTCGGGTGTGAAACTCAATGGAGTGGGTTTCAGCCTAGATTACTCCATGCTCCCAAGCCCCCCTCCTCTAGACGCCCTCTGGAGTAAAAAAAGGATTCTAAAAAGAGAAATTAAAAAGAAATGACAAGTTCATCCCAAAAGATAAAGAGTCCGCTTTTTGACAATGTTTTTCGACTTATGCAGCTTATCGGTCAACTTTTTCATCAAACACGTCATTTTTGATTTCGCGCACTGAGTTGTGTAATAATAAGAAAAACTAAGGTTGAAGCTACTTTTCTGAATTTATTGGCTGAAGTTATAGTAAAAGATCATCTAGTCACTTCAGTCAAACTGTAAGATGGTGTGTACACAAAAAGGTGTGTACACAAAAAGGTGTATACACACAATTTTTTTTCAAAAAACATAAAGTAAGTGAGTAAAAATAGTAAAAATCAGAGTTGTTCAAATCAAGAAGTTATACTGCCTAATAGATAGAGTGCAAGTCATTTTACAGTTTGATTGACTTTTAGACGCTCAATATTTCATTTAAGAATGCTTTTTGGCCTAAATAAAAATTTAAAAAACAAAAATTTGACTTATTTTAAAATTTTCTAAAAAAATGACATATTGATTGATTAGTTCTCGGTGACTCATCATTTATCAATGTTTTGTCAATCTGAAATACACTATAGTGCCTCTTGTCCAATTAATCGTACAGAACTACTAGTCGTATTTTTGTCTAAAAACATAACTAGTAATAAATTTATCCAGTGAAACTTTGATTGTAATATACATGTCGTTTTTCGTGTTTTTATTTGGTTTAATTTCATTGTTTTTAAGAGTTACCGGACTTTTTTAACTTTTCTTTTTTTGTTGGAAAATTTTTACTACTTTGCTTTTAAAATAATAATATAGGCAATATATAAAATAATTAATAAATACAACCACACAATTTTTAATTTTCTCGATCTCTTCCTCATGACTCTTAACTACACAATTTTTAGTTTTCTTATTTCACACCTAACAGCCATTTAACAATATCCAATTGGACATACACAATATATAAATTAATTATTCCCTACCGTATATGCTTGCTTAAGGGTCTCAGTTGTGGGCATCCGAATCTGTGTACTGCCTATGCTTGAGTTTATGTCTCTGAAAATTACCAAAGCAAAAGAAAGCCAAAATTCAGTGAGTCTCCATCTCAAACTATTCCATTAACACCCCCAAAAAACCAAAAATACGTGTTCTAAATATATATGTGTGTGTGAATGTATTATTAGCTATAAAGTACAAAAACTTTTGGAAAAGAGTATGTTTCCACCTCGAAAATCATACCAAAATTCTTTAAAAACTCTTCAAACAATTATTTTTCTTCTAAAAGATATTTTAGTGTTTCCATAGGATTTTCATGTTTCCATGAGCAACATAGATTATTAGTAAATTGATATTTGTTGAAGTAACTTGTAGTAAGACAATATATGAAATAATAGAATGCTTTAATTTTTGGTTAATACTCCCTCAGTATCAATAAATTGTTACACTTTCCCTTTTTGATGTATCAAATTACTTGTCTCTTTTCCTTTTTCGGAAAGAATCTCACTCAAAAAGCAGTTGCAGTACCATTACAGTACCGCTACAATACCGTTACAGTACAAAAAAACTTTTACTTTTATATAAAGTTTACAGTAATTGTCTTAAACTCCGTGAAAAGCAAATTGATCATCTAATTAGACGTGGAGGGGGTATTTTTTTTGGTTAATGTATTAATTAGATAGAACCATATATAAGACTTATGGTCTTTATGGTCTGTTAAAACCATTTATGAATCTATAGAATTGTCAATTGATCCGGAGGGACTTTTTTAAGATAGACCCCCCTACCCAATATTATAAAAATAGGAGAAATTCATTTTCATTTCATTTTCATTTCATTTTCATTTACTCCGGTGCCGCAAAGGCTCCCACCTACGGTGGGGTAAGGGGGGGGTCGGATGTACACAGTCTTACCCCTGTACTAAAGCACAGAGAGACTGTTTCCGGATGACCCATAGTGAAAATCCCGTCCAAAATTGCATGTACTGACTGCTGCTTCATAAAAAAGAAACGCAGACAGTTTAGTGAGCCATTTTGCTTTATTCCATCATAATCTCAAGCCAAAATAGGAGAAATACTCCGTAGTAATTAGTATTGAATTCGTTACTCGACAGTTTGGCAGATGGCGTGACAGAAATCAGCAATGTTCCAATTCACGGTGTCCACAAAGTATTTGTCATAGCATTCACTGATTATTGGCCCAATCTCTCTACCCTTTGTATCATCATTTCCTGTCAAACAAAAAAAAGATTAAAGACCAGATGAGGACATATATAGACATGAAATAGATCTATCTATATATGTAGAGAGAGACCTAGTGTTTTAAGGGCTTGTCCCATGACTGAGGTGTATAAAAAAAGGTTTGTTGGGGAAATATTAAAAAGTGTAGGTAGGTAGATATATACTAAGCATGAGGAGAGGCAAACATGTGTTTTGGGTGCATGGGAAGGAGACTTGAAAGTAGAGATGAGAATGTTTGCATTGCATGTGATTCCAAACTTTTCTTTCACCCCATTCAATGCTTTCTCACACTTACATATGTTCCACATTCCTTTGCTTTGCATTTATTTGTGAGAACTTCTCAAAATAAAAGAAAAACATGAATAAAGTTAGAGAATTATGTATACGTTTTATTACCAAATTAGGAGTGTGAATCTAGAGACCAACCTAGGATTGGATTTTTGGCAGAGCAGACAACTTTTTTCCACAAGAAATTGCTTCAAATAGGACCAAAATATAGACAAAGTATATATATATATATAGAATAAGGATCAAATGAGAAGAGTGCTTATCGTAAGAAGTGAGAATGCATCTGGTGCATTCATTTTAAGATCTGTGCATCAGATTAGCAAAAAAGTGCACGGGAAAGTACAAAAAATATTAAAAAAAAATATGCTAGACGCGGTGGCATTTCCGTAATTAATCGGAACTTTTCTGCCATCGCAAAAAAAGTGCATCAGATTAGCAAAAAAGTGCATCAGAAATAGGTAAATGTGTAACTTCTCACTTCTCACGTTAAGATGTCTTCTCATTAGAACCCGACCCTATATATATATATATATATATAGGGGATGGTTCAAATAAGGTCTTCCCATGCAAAGTGAGAATGAATCTCGTGCGTTCATTTTGAGATCTAATGGCTCAAAATGAGCCAAAAGTGAACTAAATTTGATCAAAAACGCGGTGGCAATTTCGTAATTAAAACGAAGTTTTTTGCCATCGCGAAAAAGTGCAACAGAAACACGCAAAAGTGCAACGCGGTGAAGAAAAAGTGCAATTGTTCGCACTTTGCACGGGAGAACCTCTTTTTATTTGATCTCTTCCCTATATATATATGTATATATATTGGACATAAAACATATATATATATATATATATATATATATATATATATATATAAGTATTTATGTTTTATTTCCAAAATATGACTTGTTTAATCTCTTTAAAAGTATAAATTTCTTCAAATGGTCATGATTGTACATTTTGTCTATGTTTTAGTTCTATTTAAAGAATTTACATTTATTGGTTAGATAGTACTTTTATATGGGAGATTTCAACAAATAGGAGCAAAACGTACGGATTTTCCAAAACTAAGACCGAAAATTAGGGTAAGACTCAACTACACCTGCATTGACCACAATACTCTTACTTTTAGAAAATAACAGACATTAAATAGACAATAAATAGACAATAAGTAGACATTAAATAAACAATGAAGAAAATTGCTCCCATCTTCTCCCGACTCTATCCCGTTTAATTTGTCCTTCGCAAATCCAGATCCATGCAGCTCCGTCTTCAGGTCTCCGCCTCCGAAGCTAGGTCGCCGGACGAAGTTACAGTGAGATGGTGGAGGCCTTGGCGGCGAAGCTGTTTGATGGCGACGAGGTGGAGATGATGTTTGGCGGCACAAGCACGGCGGCGATGAGGTCTGGCAATGGCGGCGGCGTCTGGCAATGGAAGTGGTTTGTCGCGACGGCCGCAAAATCGAAAATGGGCAGCGAACAAGGAAGAAGGCGGAGGCGTTGAACTTCAATCGGCGAATCTGGGAGCAAAGCCCTGAAAGACAAATTTGGAAAGTTAGAAATAGGTTTCCTAATCTAGAACTAAATAGGTAATATGAATGGAAAAAACATTAGCAGGTATTATTTTTGTAAAAGAGCTATGATTTGGTCCTACTAGGAGCAAATTTCTCCTTTTATATTCAACGTTTTGTTTTAGAATTCATTATATTTAGTATAGTATAGTAAGATATTTTCAAGTATCACAATTTCATACTATGCAGTGTAAAAACTGTATGTTAGTTTGTATAGTAAACGAGCTCTAAGTTTTTTTTTTTTAAAATCGAACTGAAATGTTCATGTCTGGACTAGTTTGGGCTTGTCTAGTCTCGTAGAGGTATGTTCTATATATGTGCATTTTACAATTGTAAAAGTTTGGTCCGATATGTTTTGTTTTGATCGGATCTGGTGTCACGCCCCGGACCTACCCGAACACGTCAACAACCCGTCGTACAGTACGAATAGTCAACCGCAGTCCAACACATCCATACTATACAAGACGTCTTGAATATCATTCACACATAGTACATCCATAAACAAACATAATGTAAAACTTTCATTTTAAAACAACGGATCATTTAATACAAGTGTTTATGCCACACTTTAGCAAACATGGGCATACAGACCCCAATTAATTATTCAAAAGTAGTATCCATGAGCATTATCATAATTATTTTGAAAACATAACAGAGGAAGCACGAACCACGTCTTCTCTCTTGAAACTCCCCGAAGCAACGGCGATGGTAACAAGCTTCAACTCCTACCTGAAACTGTGAGGTGGCCTCCCCCGTGAAGGGGAGGCCAGTACTTGGAAGCATTTGACAAGTACAATGACAACTATACCGAGTTTAATTAACGTTTTAATTTCTAAGACCCTCAAAATAGGGTGATATCATAATATAAATAATAATTTATATTTCCCACTTATTATCTCTATAATAAGTAAATTCATTTATTTGTCGGCACACGACCCTTCTTATATAATCCTTTTCATTTATCATTTGTACAACCCAACCCGTGGGTCTTATTATTTCTACGGGATTTGTTACCGCTGTCCGAGACCTCACGAGGCTCTCGGTTCGGACTTCAACATCCCGTCCCTAGACTCATACCCATCGTCCCGTAGGAAGGTAAGGCCCTTCGGGGTCCTATCTTATGTGTTACCGCTGTTGGAGCCTAGTTAGGTCTCCGTTCGGATTCCACCCTAACCCGTGATCACGATGCAAGTCCATGCTAACCAACCCCGCTCTCTAGAATCGGGAAGGGCCATGGTCCTTACTTATTACCATAATTCAACCGGCTATCCTCAAAGACTACCGAACACGCCCGAAGGCCAATCCTATATCTAGGATCAATTTATTATTTACTTTACCTTGTGTATCCTTTAAGGCCTACCCCTAGTATAACTTAAGGTTCATACCTTCCTACCTTAAAGCATCTCTTAAGACTACTTGAGGTATAAAATTTCACAATCCAACCTTTGGATCAATTTTACCAACATTCCACTTTAATGCCTAACTAGTATATTTATACTAGTCCAATTAATTCCAACAAAATCAAGTTCTTCACTCATGGTCATTTATAAAATGCCCAACTGATTTTCCATTGAAAATATCATCTATATATCCATATACCAAATCTCACTTTTAATCATTCATATATTCTTATACGAAGTAAAAAGTATATTTAAACATACATTTCATAGTTACTTCCATTATCAAGTAATCATACTCATAACACATGATTATACACAATTTACTCTTAAATTTGTATATCATGCTCCTTTCCTTATAGACATAGTCTTCTCATTCTTAAGCATTATTATTCTTTAATAATTCATAGAAAACATATTTAATTACCTTAGGTAATCTCATGAAATTAACTCACTAATTATAAGCAATACAGTCAGCTATATTCACCTTATGAAGTGCTTAACTAGATGCCTTTGCGAAGCCCTTCGATCAATCCCCGTTCTAGGTAGATCGAAATGAAAATTCTGGACAGCAGCTAAAAGCCGCCCGGCTTCCACCAAAGCCGCCCGACGTTCGGGTTCTGCAAGTTCGAGCAGTTCACTTTGAGTGGCGGTTTCCGGCGATTTCGACTCCTATCGATTCACCAACTCTTCTAAGTTAAATACCACCACTTTATATCAATATTCTACACTTTTAAACGTATAGAACATCATGTTTAATCCACCATATGATTTCTTACAAATCATACAAAATAAAACTAGTTAAAGAATAATAGTTATGTTCTTACCTTTCTTCCTAGCTATTTCTCTTTGAGTTTCCTTGCCTCTTGCTTCCTCCAAGCTTGAGCTTTGTGGAGACCTTTTCTCTAGAGCTGCCCTCTCTTTCTCTCTTGTGCGTATGGCTCAAAATGAAGGGAGAAATATCTACCTCAATACATACATTATTTGAGGTGTAGATAGGTCATAGGGGGTGTGCACTTGTCTTGTGCCATCCCTCCCATCCACAATCCGCACACACCACTTCAATTCTTGTCCCTCTCTCTATTATTTGAGTTTATTTGATGTGTAGGATACCCCAAGTGGGTGTAGAAAGTCTCTCCCAATTATCCCCGCTATTTCTGACAGGTTGGGTCAAAATAATACTTGGGTTGCCCCAACGTTTTCCTCAACTTTAGTTAGCATTTTATTGGGCTTCTATAATTATTATGATGACCCAACTAATTATTCACCAGCCCATTCTCAATATTATGGGTCCGATAAATAATTTAATTAATCACACATTAATTAAATAAATCGTTGTGTGCACGATTTTTATTCGCTAAGAAATTCAAATACATGTTGAATTTTCAAATCAAATACATCCAGGTGCGGTGTCACATCTGGTCTAGTCTAGTCTGTTAAGTCTAATCTCATCTGGTCCGGGGTACAAACTAATCTAAATAAAAAAAGTAATTGCCCCATATAGGACTAAAAGAGAAGTGAAATTCTCAAATAGGACTATCCATGATTTTTTCCCTAAACAAGACTATTTTACTCCTATTTGAAAACATCCGTATTTTTTATTCCATTATTACCCCCTTATCCCTTTTACGCTCATCTCTCTCCCATTCCCTACGCACAACCGCTTCCCCATTCTCTCTTGCGCACACCTCTATATCTCTTCCTTCACTGCGCATCATCAGCCGTCTTCAACCTAGCCATCTCAGCCGCCGCCAATTTCGCCCTGCACACAAGATCGTTTGATTTCTCTCTCACGTCGCCGCTGCATTCGATTCTCCGTACGCCGCTGCCACTAAGGTTCTCCTCCATCCATCTTCTTCTTCTTCCTCTTTCTCTTC